GTTGGAAAATGACATCAAACAAAAGTTTAAAAAAATTTTAACCATGAAAAGTATGTTAACCCAAATATAGGAAGAAAAATACAAATTAAGTTTTGGAAATGGCAACAAACAACGGGAAATAAAATTTAAATCCGAGAATATTGGAGAATGAAAAAGAACTCAAATAAAACAGAAGAAGAACAAAATGAATAAGAGAAGCTAAATTAAATAAATTTGCTTTTTATAAGAGTTGAATCAAATTAAGTTTGGGAAATGGGAAAAGACAAATCAATTAAAGAATTGGCACATCGGGGTAGCTATAAAAGTAATTAAGGTAATGAAGATGATTTAGTGGTACTTTGAGGCCTCTGTGAATCATGAGGGGAGCTTAGAATCCTGCAGTAAAGTGTGGGTATTTGATGCTAGTTTGAAATGCGACTCAGTCTTACTTTGTTCATTAATGCTCTTGCATGTCCCTAGCTAATTTCGTCGGTGCTGTTGTATGTGTAAGTGACGTTGAGCTTGAACTTGTGTTAAAATGTAGAGATCTTGTCTATTTGGGCTGACATTTGTAATTAGTATTAACTTCCAATTGGAGCAAGTTACTCAGATACAAACTAAAAATCAACCTCATAATGAGTATAGCTAATTAGGCCTATATATGCACAAGTGTTTAGTGAAAGGTATCAGTTTAATTGTTCAGCTAATGTGTCATTTGTACATTTCGAGTCAAAAGTTATTTCCCTAAAATTTAACAAACTGACATTCGGTGAAATTGTGTAGCATGTACTTCTATAACATACTTGTATTTTCAAAGGAACTTAGATGTGATTATGGAGAAAACCTAAATAGTTTGATATAAATATGCACTACCGGCACTTGTGTTTAAATTTTTTAAATTATAATAAATAATTTATAACACGTAAGTATTCTTTTTTGAGAAATAAGAACAAATATACAGTCAAAAATTCGATAGAATTTGTAGAGAAAATTAAAAACCTAAAATTAGAAAACGAAGACTTACTGGTGTCATTTGATGTAATATCATTGTTTACTAAAACACCATTAGATGTTTTGAGAATAAGTTAATAGAAAACAGAGTACCAACAGTCGAAATTATAGATATATTGAAATTAACAAGAGTGTGTGTAGATAATCCATTTTTCCAAGTTAATCAAAATTATTATAAACAGAAAGAGGGTTTATCTATGGGATCCCCCTTGTCGCCATTGTTATGTGACCTTTATATGGCTAGTTTTATAAATGAAGCTTTAAATAATACTAAATTTAAGTCAGAAGTTTGGATAAGATATGTAGATGACACATTCGTGGTGTGGCGACATGGCAACAGTAAACTACAAGAATTTTTTAGTTATTTAAATAGTAAAGAACCAGCAATTAAATTCATGTGTGAAATTGAAGATAATAAAAGCATTAATTTCTTAGACGTATTAGTTAGGAAGGAAGAAGGTAACTTAGAAACATCAGTTTATAGAAAACCTTTTGTGCTGAATTATATATATATATATATATATCTATATAAAGAGCTTAAATGTGTTTTTGAAACAGTTGAGCTGCCAGTGCAGGACAACAAGGGACATGTCTGTCCATCTAGGCTGTTTTAATCTTATCTAATAAGCTTAAAAACAAACCTCAAAGCCAGCCCGTATCGTTCAAATACTTATGAAGCCTTCTTTTAAACTCCCTTGAACTTACTGTACCCACCACAGCTGAAGGCAAACCTTTCCAAAGACCAACTTTCTTGTTGGAAAAATAAAATTGTGTTAACTGAAGATTACTCCTGCCAAAAGTTATATTTGTGTTCCATAGTCCTACTGTTCTCACCATTAAATGAAAAAAATAAACTGTGTCAATTCCCTTAACAATTTTTAAAACCTTAATCAGATCCTCTTTAACTGTTCTTTTTATATATTTTTTTCAAGAGGAAATTTCAGAGACCTTAGCTTGTCCTTATAAGGCATTTTTCATCCTTGTCGCCCTCCTCTGAACATTCCTAACAATTCAGTATCCTTCCTATAAGATAAGGAGCTCAAGATTGAACACAATATTCCAGAAGTGGCCTGACCGGTGTGCTATACAGTTATAATCTCTAGACTTGTATTCAATATTTCTGTTAGTATGTCCTAAAATCCTGTTTGTCCTGGTACTTGGAAGTCGTAAGAGACTGATCAACCACTCCATCAAAATCACTTTTTTCATAACATTGTTTAAGTTATTCTCGTCAAGATTATAATTGAGATTGTGATAACTCTCATGCGTATCCTTGCATTTGTTCACCCAACTCGCAAAATGATCTCAATCCTTTTATTATGCAGCAGTGTCCACCTTTCAGTCAGCAGCACCCGCAACTTTTAATACGTCTGGAATTTTTGGCTTAACTTGGAACCCTCATTAGGCAAGAATACCATTTCCACAAGTTTAATTAAGTAGTCAATAAAAAAATGCATTTTAGGGTGATTGTAAAATAGTTATGTACAGTATAACATGGAATAGTTAATTGGTCAGGTGTCCGAAATGCCAGTCACGTAGAAAAGCTTATGTTTCATTAGTAGATATTTTTATTTGTTATAAAAGTTCTGCCACACAGGAATGGTTTAAAGTTTCTTGCATCTCTAGTATTGAATGAAGGAGGGTAAATGTACTTTGTAATATTAAAATCTTTGGTATTTTTCCATAGTTTTTCTCCCTTGCTTGTAGCTTCATATTAGTTGACTAGTAATTTGTTATAATATAGTTTGCTTGAAATGTACTTTAGTGTAAAAGGAAGTCCTTGTATATGTTATAAGTTTAAAAACCTAGACCATAACCCTTTTATTATGTATATGTTATAAGTTTAAAAACCTAGATCATAACCCTTTATTATGTATATGTTATAAGTTTTAAAACTTAGATCATAACCTTTTATTATGTATATGTTATAAGTTTAAAAACTTAGATCATAACCTTTTATTATGTATGTTATAAGTTTAAAAACCTAGACCATAACCCTTTTATTATGTGTATGTTATAAGTTTAAAAACTTAGATCATAACCTTTTATTATTATTACTTCTTTTTTTAAGACTTGCGAAACATGGCTCGTACAAAGCAGACGGCTCGTAAATCTACCGGTGGTAAAGCTCCCCGTAAACAGTTAGCCACCAAAGCAGCCCGCAAAAGTGCACCATCAACTGGCGGAGTTAAAAAGCCTCACCGTTATAGGCCAGGAACTGTGGCCTTGCGTGAAATAAGACGTTACCAGAAGTCCACAGAGTTATTGATTAGAAAACTGCCATTCCAACGACTCGTTAGAGAAATTGCTCAGGATTTTAAAACGGACTTGAGGTTTCAGAGTGCTGCAATAGGTGCATTACAGGTAACCGTTTACTATATTATATTCCAATCAGATGTCAGCTGTTACAGATGAGGTGAGAGATCTCATTAAGAATGTGTAAATAAATCATTTATTATATTGCTATTCACTCTGTCTGAAAAATATACAAAATAACTAGTACGTTTAGTGTTTGAAATGCTAATTTTCATTGTTTGACAGATAAATTTAAATCTGTGGTTAATTTCTGGAAATTTTCCAGCGAAAGTAGATTGTGTAACATATTTTTCCTTAACCAAAATGGTTTTTACACTTCTGTTTTGGATGGAAAATTAGTGATAATTCAACAAGAAAATTGATTGTTGAATTCTCGGTAAGAAAAACAGTTTTATGTTAAAACGGATGAGGATGAATATGAGGAAGGGTGCAGTTTGCACTATTGAATTAAACAAATATAGAAGGGAAAAAAAACTTGTAGTAATTGTTCCACACATTAAAAACTACTAGAGTTAAAATTTATTGAATGAAGTTTTATTTGATTTCATAAAATATTTTAAAAAATTGCATGTTTTGAGTTTGGGTTGATTACAATGTGTTCCAACTGAAATCGTCATTGTTCGTGAATTCCCTGAATATTTTTCAGAGCATTATATGGCACTAGTAGCTCTAGGAAGAAAGTAACGGTGGTTTTGGACAAAACAGTGGAAATTTATACTTGTAAACAAATGTACTTATATTGATTTTTTGCCAATCATACTTTCTAAACCTTGGTTGTCATGGTGTTATTTAGTTGCCTGTATCAAACAAGATGGGTTAGGCTTAATAATAATTAATACTATTTCTCTACTCTCGTAGGAAGCCAGTGAAGCTTATCTTGTGGGATTATTTGAAGATACCAATCTGTGCGCAATCCATGCAAAACGGGTAACCATCATGCCGAAGGATATCCAGTTGGCAAGAAGAATCCGTGGCGAGCGTGCATAAGTAATTAGTCTACGATGCTGACGGAATTAGTACTTGCTAATGACTCGTCTCTATTAGCCAATCGTTGATTTTATGTAGTGTTGATAGGAGTGATGTAATTTGTTTTCTGTTTGAGGCCAGAGTCAACATTTTATATGTATCATTTCATTGTCTTAACCTTTGTACAATGTTGTCATTTGCAACTTTTTGTATCAGTTTTCATGTTGTAAACTTGTACCTTTTTTTTTGTTTTACTGAGAGAATGTTTCTGTGTTGTATGATATGTAAGAGTACCTCTGTGATTTCCCTTAAACTTGGACCATCAGTGTTTTAGATTAGACACGTATTGATTTTACACTTCAATTTATATCTTAACTTGACTGATTTCGTCACAAAACATGGATGTTTATAAATGTTTGTCGAAGAAAGTAGTGTTCTCATTTCACTGCCAGAAATTTGCCTCCCTCCACTATATACATAAATATCTATATATGTATATATAATGTTGTACAGAACAATGATTGGCATGTCAATAAAATTAAGATCTATATGTATAAGATATCCAAATTATCATGTTCATAAATAAACATTCCATGTAATATTTTTGTTTTATTTCATGTTGTTTATCATGTTCCTTCTCCACTCCATTAGCTAAATCATTGGTTGAAGTATTAACATTCTGTCATGATAAGTATTATTTCTTTAATAATACAACAAATAACTTGAACATATTTAATTAATAGTGATTGAGTCTGGTATACCTGGTATTTTCAACATAAATATTCATGCATATAAACTACAATGTTGTTGGGTTTTTTTTTTATGCAACTGGAAAACCTCAAGAACTTGTTAAATAATACCAAATTCTTATTTTTATAATATTTTTACAGGTCATAAATGTCTTTGCAGGTCAGTGCTGTTTTAAACTAACATATTACATAAATAAATTTGTATTGCACTCCTAAGATCTATTAATTTTAAGTACAAAATATATTACATACAGACAACAAGGGACAAGTTGGTCATCCTTCAAAGCTGTCCTTACATACGAACTGTATAGCGTGTCATTCTGTTAGAAAAATATCTAAGCTTAACTGGAGTCTAGTCTGTATTTTACAAATGTTAAAACTTCTGTCCTATACTTTCAGAATTAAGCATGAAGTCCATGGCTTTATTCTGTTGATCTCTCGTATAATTTTCTAAACATCAATAAAATTGCCTATTACCCTTTTATTAAGAGAAAATAGATCGTAACATAACTTTGTAAGATAGTCCTTTAATCCAAGTAGTCCTCCTCTGAACCCTTAACAATAAGTCCTTTCTTAGATGATGAGACTAAAACTAGTCAGTAATCCAGGTAAAATCTAACCAGTAATTTATTTACTTGTAATCAGAGTCTATAAATACATCCAAAAATTGTTAGCTTTACTACTAGCAAAAGAACACTGGTTAGATGGCTTGAGTGATTTATCCACCATTAATCTAATATCATTCTCTTCAGTCATGTTATTACTTAGTGTTTTCCCATGATTCATCCACCATTGATCTAATATCATTCTCTTCGGTCATGTTATTACTTAGTTTGTTCCCATGATTCATCCACCATTGATCTAATATCATTCTCTTCAGTCATGTTATTACTTAGTGTTTTCCCATGATTCATCCACCATTGATCTAATATCATTCTCTTCGGTCATGTTATTACTTAGTGTGTTCCCATGATTCATCCACCACTGATCTAATATCCTTCTCTTCGGTTATGTTATTACTTAGTGGGTTCCCATGATTCATCCACCATTGATCTAATATCCTTTTCTTCGGTCATGTTATTAATTAGTGGGTTCCCATGATTCATCCACCATTGATCTAATATCATTCTCTTCCGTCCTGTTACTTAGTGGGTTCCCGTGATTTATCCACCATTAATCTAATATCCTTCTCTTCGGTCATGTTATTACTTAGTGGGTTCCCGTGATTTATCCACCATTAATCTAATATCCTTCTCTTCGGTCATGTTATTACTTAGTGTTTTCCCATGATTCATCCACTATTGATCTAATATCCTTCTCTTCAGTCATGTTATTACTTAGTGGGTTCCCATGATTTATCCACCATTGATCTTCGGTCATGTTATTACTTAGTGGGTTCCCGTGATTTATCCACCATTGATCTTCAGTCATGTTATTACTTAGTGGGTTCCCGTGATTTATCCACCATTGATCTTCAAGTCATGTTATTACTTAGTGGGTTCCCATCTGTGTTGAACGTGATCCAAATCCTTGCAATTCTTTAATTTAAAGTAATCTGTCAACTACTTATCCAACTTGAAAATTAATCCAAGTCATTATTGTAATAAATTGGTACAGCAAGAAGTACCCAAGAGTTTACCATTATCAGTAGTATTTACTCAATATGCTCATATCAATAAAATTAATGTAAATAATAAAAGCAGAAGCGCTGATCCCCAAACCATTCTGGTAGTAACGGGGGTCTGGATTGTTAGTAACCTTTTGACCACCCTAAAGTCCAGTTAACTAGTCTTTCTCCAATGTGATTTTCCTAAAGATTTCCATTTGTGATCTAGTTCACCAGATTATTTTTAAAGCATCTTTTATCAGATTATAACTTTTTTTTATTATACAAGTAAAACTAACTATCTTATAATTTCCGGTATAGATCTTATCTACTTTAAAAACTAGGAATAACGTTAGCAATTTTTCAATACTCTGGCAGCTGTCCACTCTACTGACGTACCATAAAGGAAAAAAGTCATATATTTGAAACTCTGGATCTTGGACCTTTTATTTATCTGAGTCTTGTAACAAAGAGATTAATGTCTACGTGCTTCAAGTCAGTTCCAATATTTTCCATAAGGTTCTTACAGTCTTCAACAAAATCCTTGCTATCAGAAACATCTGAGGACCCAAACTCTGTTTTAAGATTATTAACCAAGCGTTTTTAAAGTTCGTAACTTCTTTTTTATTAGCTAATGGGTTAGCGGTAGGTTTACAGACTTGTAACTCAAAAAAATGCGCAACTCAATTTCCCGCAGTGGAGAGAGAGCACACACACCACATTGTATAGCCTTATGCAAAAATTTAACCAAAGATTTCATTCATCCTCCTTCTTTTTATAGGGGTATGTCATATTAAAATAATTTATTTTTAAAAATGTCTCTAATTTAAGCAATTCATCTTTTAATACATTATCTGAATTCGCTAATAAATGTTTTTAACTTCAAAATTAGCTTTCTGAAAATTAAGAAATAATATGTCTTTTGTTTTTACTTAAACACTTGGCAAACATTAAGCCTTATTATACAACGACCATTTTCCCTAAATGTCCCACTACTTAAATTTATTAATGGTTAACAATAAAGTAGTATTACCATTGGTTGCTATAGAAAAACACCTGTATATAACTTCAGGAAACATGTTAACTATTTGACTCGATACAATCTCCATCCTCTTATCTAAAATGAGTCTCCCAAAATTACAGGAACAGTTTTGTTATTAGCAGGAACTCTTATCAGGTGGTCTATAGCAGTAGCCAATTTTAAATATTATCCTTGAGACACACCGTATGGATTCAACCTCTACTACAATTATTTTTATATCCAAGTCCAGTAAGCTGCGTTCCTCGGTGGGACAGCGGTAAGTCCACGGATTCACAACGCTAAAATCAGGAGTTCGATTCTTCTCGGCATATACAACAGATAGCCTGACGCGGCTTTGCTATATATATATATATAAACAACGGACTGCAAGGAATCATTTATATAACTTCCCACTGATAATTAACCTGCAATTTCAAAGTAATTCCCTTTATAAACATACGAAGTTTTGTTAATTACCCTGATGTAATAATCTGTTTTAACTGGAGCCCTGCACTCATCCATCATGTTCTTAATACTCCTAACAGTACAATAATAAGATTATCGTTTACCTTTAAATATGACATATTTCAACTTGTTACGTGGCTCAGCGATAGTTCTTTGGGCTTATAACGCTGAAAAATTGGTTTTGGTACTCGCAGTGGGCACAGCACAGGTACTTCATTGCGTAGCTTTGTACTTAATGACAAAAACTGCTGCTCTAAATCTCTTCGTTGCCCCAAATATTCTATGACACTACTGATGTTTTGTAAGTTACTTTGAGTGCTTGCTTATAATAAATCGAATGAAATACAAATTTAACCCTTTCCGACGATCATTATTAATTTTAAGAAAATCTCAATTTGCATTGTAAGGGCTCACGTAGACTAACTTTCGTTTAATCTTAATTGTTATTATTTTAATGTACATGCAAATAATGACTTGTTTTGCTTCATGTGTATATCATTCGTATAAGAGAACAACTTTACGTAAACTAAAAATACTGTTCGTGGTCTTACTGCGCTCTATTTATTTAACATAAACTAGCGGTATGGGCGTCGTCAGAGGTGGTGTTGACTGGTTCTAACGACCCTCCCTTTTTTTCTTGAACCTGAAGATTAGATCTGATGATGCGATAACAGGACATTATGATTTTACATTCATTTCCTCTATTTAACATGGTCTGCTTCTTCTTCGCGCTCAGGCGTACATGTGTTATTGAATGCAGAAACTACCGACGCCCATGCTAATGTTTCTGCAATCTACACACTTTGAAAAATTGAAGCAAAGTGTTTTATCGAATAAAAAAAACAACTACCTCAAAATTATATGCTACTTTAAAAATACGCTGCCGAATCCTTCAGAAAATATAACAAGATTTATCTGAAAAAGTTGGAGAGAATAGAAAGTACGTGCTTATAAAGTCCAAGAAGACGTCATCTTTTACGTGTAGGTGACGTTCAGAATAATTTAACCCTGATGAAGGCGAAACGTTGGTTGAAATATTTTTTTTTTATATTTATCTGGGCTGTGAGGGTTGGTTTTCTAAACTATCAAAATGATAAATCCCTTCAGTATGCACTACAAATTTTGGAAGACAACAAACAATTTCCAGTGTCACGAGGATTCTGTTATCAACAAAAATTTACCGTTGCACTACATTATATATGAATAATACGCGGATGTTATAATACTATTTAAGTATGAATTTACAGTGTACTAGGTGGTAATGTTAACCAAAAATATTTACTTAAGCAGTTTAAGTTTCAAGCCTAAATGAAAACATGATTTGTAAAAGATGAAAGTTGATGTTATTATTAATTTCAGTTTTGTTTTTAAATTAAATTTTTAATGTATATACAATAATAATAATTGTGGTCAAAGTTTATATTTGGTTAGTAATAACAGCTAACGAATACTGTCGTAACTTGTTCTTTTGTTGGGCGGATTCTTTTGCATTATGTAGTAAAAATGATAAGTCTAGTCTATGTAACAACAAGCAAAAGTACCCGTCCCCAGTGAAGGGAAAAGTTTAAGTTAATCTATCAATTCTAAGTTATTTCATGGACTTTAAAAATGTTAATTGTATTGCACTCTTGGTTTCACAAAGCCCTGAGATACTTATACCGCCCACCGCAAAAAGTAATTGTTGAGCTTTGCCTGCGTGCGCAGCTTTTCAAACGGGAGACAGACACCACAGATCGCAGTAAATATAAAATAAATTAGTTTATTCCTTCTA